GGAATGACAGACAACATGTGTATTGGTGGACTGACTAAATTTCCGAGCTAAGAAGAAAATGCAAACATGTGCGACGCCTATGTCAAAGAGCAAGGGGTCGTGAAAACTTTATAGCGCACCAAGAAGCCTAAAAAACATCGAGAACTGACCTAAAAAAGGCGATAGCGAATAGCAAGCCAAGATGCTACAAGGAAATGTGCGAAGAGGTCAAAAATAATCCCAGGGGATACACGGTGGTTATGAAAAAATTATATAGCTACCGTCCACCAGTTACAACAAACGCAGCTACAAGCAATAGTTGAAGGTCTCTTCCCGCAGAGAGCTGATATAACCTATACAGTACAAGATAGTGAGCCACAGAATGAAATACCTGAGGTTAGCAGGCTAGAATTGGAAGTGGTATGCAAAGGGTTGAAACTAAACAAAGCACCTGAAGTAGATGGAAACCAAACCTGGCACTAAAGATGGCCACAGAAATCAACGCTGATTTATTCAGGGAAGTGTTCGAAGGTTGGTGCTTATACCAAAAGGCAATAACGTACAAGATGCAACAGGCTACCGCCCGCTATGTATGATTGATACGGCCGGTAAACTGCTGGAAAAGATTATTAGTCGAAGACTAGAGGAAGACTTGAATGGCAACGGTTTATGAGATAGACAATTCGGGTTTCAAAAGGCACACAATAGAGGCCGTGGAAGCAGTCATAGCCATAGCAAAAGATGCCATTAAAGGAGACCGTTGGCTCGAAGGAGACAAAGAATACTGTATCATCATTACATTAGACGTTAAAAATGCATTTAACTCAGCGGACTGGGACACTGTTCTAGCAGCACTTCAAGGGAAAAACGTCCCAAAGTACCTAGTAGGATTAATCGTAGACTATTTTAAAGAGAGAGTGCTTTTGTATTACACAGACAGAGGCACAAAGTCATACCAAGTAACAGCAGGGGTACCACATGGTTTGGTACTGGGTCCAATATTGTGAAACATTATGTATGACGGAGTGCTGAGACTTGAGCTCCCAGAAGGCGTAGAAATTATTGGTTTTGCTGATGACATCACCCTGGTGGTTAGAGGGAAACATATAGAAAAGATAGAATCAACATGCAACCATACGGTCATTATGGTAAGGAGCTGGATCACAAGTGTAGAGCTCAAACTTGCTGATCATAAAACTGAAGTTCTTCTTGTAAGCAGCAGGAAAAAGATCGAGTACATTACAATAACTGTTGGCAATGAGCGAGTCACATCAAAACATGCAATCAAGTATCTTGGAGGAATTATTGACAATAGATTCACCTTCAAAGAGCACCTACGATATGTTGCCGCAAAACATGCGAAAACAACGTGTGCACTATCGCGAATAATGCCCAATATAGGTGGACCTAGACAACAGAAGAAGCAACTACTGACAAATGTAGTTAAGTCTATTGCTATATATGCGGCTCCTATATAGGCAGATGCAATAAATAAAAAGACGTACCGATTAGGAGTAGACGCAGCCTACAGAAGATGCGCACTCAGAGTTGTTTCCGCATTCAGTACAGTATCTACTGACGTGGCCATGGTTATTGCCAGAATGATGCCACTGCAGCAGGAAGCAGAAACTGAAAAGGAAAAAAATTGCAGCAAGAAAAACTGGAGTTACAAACTTCAATCAGCTCAATGAAGATGCATTGAATAAGTGGCAACAGAGTTGGGGTATATCCACAAAGGGAAGATATAGACTCATTCTAAAGATAAGTGATTGGATCAACAGAAAGCATGGGTTGGGGTATATCCACAAAGGGAAGATGGACACATAGGCTCATTCTAAAGATAAGTGATTGGTTCAACAGAAAGCATGGGCAGGTGAAATACCACCTAACCCAGATGTTAACTGGACACGGCTGCTTCAGAGCATATCTTTTTTAATTCAAACATGAGGAAGACGACACGTGCCCAGCATGTCCAAATACAAAAGAAACGGTGGAACATGTATTCTTTGTTTGCCCGAGATATGAGAGCCATTATAGCTCTTTGGTAAAAGCAACCAGAGAACAGGTCACACCTGATAACATTATCCAACTGATGTTGAGGTCAACAGAAATCTGGAACCTGGTGTGTGTATTTGAGAAAGAAATCATAGAAGGACAGAAAGCAGCAGAGAGAACTAGAAGAACAGTAAGAGATGACAGCAACCGCTGAATCACCACCCTCCGAAGTAATGCTTAAATGTGGTTCCAGAGGGATTTATGGTTAAAAGAGGCACGGTGTTAGGATGAGGTTTAGTATGTAGGCGCAATTATCAAGCAAAAGAGTAAGTCTTGGTTGAGAATCGTGCATGCTGGTAGTACGGGCTACCAGTATCTTTTGAAGATTCCACATCCCTAAGCTCGTATAGTTTAAAAAAAAAACGCACATATTCCCTGTGGGAGTGGAGTTAGAATATTCCCGGGGTAAGTCATGCCCGTGGTAAGAGGCAACTAAAATACTGCCAGGCATCGAAGGGTGTGACTGAAAAGGTTAAGAGGCAACTAAAATACTGCCAGGCATCGAAGGGTGTGACTGAAAAGGTTACAAAATCCCTTAGAAGCTCTTGAGCTGAGCCGAGTAGACGCCGGCTCTAAAAACGCGTGCACCATCCCGGGGATGGCAACGAGGGACATCTAAGTGCGCAGAGAGTGGCTAAACAGCTGTGCACCATCGAGGGATGCAGCTGTGTGCACTGTCCTAAGAAAAGGCAGATGCAACAACGATGGAGCCTTTTCACGCTTAACAGGTTAGGTATGAAAGAGGAAAAAATGCATGCTAAGACAGATAAGCAGTGCATAATAATTATAGTTTTAGGGTTCAAACACCCATCAGGATCGAGCCCAGTAAGATCCTGATTATGGCATACTGGAAGATGTGAAATTAGTAGAAATTAGTTACCCTTGGGCTGTTAAGGGTATTATTCTGGAACCTGAGTACTTAGAAGTGACTCCCTAACAGTCCCGTCCCGTTAAATCTCTGGCAGGCCTCAAGAAACGCTACAACATTGACTCTATTAATTTGGTGGTGCAGGCTCAGTTGAGTATACTCCTGACTAGCACTGATCCGGCTCTGAACGTACACTCATAAGGAGGTACGTCAACCCTCGTATGAAACTTCCTGCATGCAAAGACATCCATGGGATCATAAAAGTGACTGCACATTCAATGAACGACAACGAACTCGAGTGGGGGCCCAACAAAATGAACACAGAAAAAATAAAACCAATAATAACAAAAACAACTATGGAGGCGAAGGATGCTGATAGCGTGCCCAATCACGCTGACAGTATGGACTTAGATGCACGTACGGCGGTTACCACATCGGTTACCACACCGGGGACTGCGCGTATCGTCACTAAAACGTGCTTTCCTCAAGAGACAGCAATAAAAATGTGTCAAGGGTCTGTAAAAACCCCGGAAAATACCTTCATTAGCTTGGGAAGTAAGATCCGATCTCTCATTGAAATGGTAAATGAGACGCAATCGGATAAAAAGAGGCGCAGAGCTATTCATCAACCAATGAGAGATGTGATCAACGGCATCAGACTTCTTTACGAAGTGGTAGCGATCGAATTTCAAGATAAAGTGGCTAGGGAAACGGTCAAGTTGCTCTCAAACCTCCCCCTGCTTGAAGCAAGCAACAGGTGCCAGGAAACCCCAGAAAAACGATTCGCCTATACAAGACACTCCGGTTGGAGAAATAGGAAAAAACGCTAAAGAAAATACAAAAAAAGGCGGTAGGCTTAACAGCATGAGTAGCGGATGATACGACCGCTACGCACCCCGTACCTGTTAAAAACTTGAAAAGGGTCCTCCAATAACAGTTACTAAAACACAGGAGTGAAAAAAAGTCGAAACAAAAAAGAAGCAGCGCTTCCGATCCAAGCTAGATGCAAATATCATCGCATCTACTGCGGAGAAAAGTTACGCGGATATCCTTAGGACCATAAGGATAGACAAATCGCTTAAGCACCTCGGCAACTCGGTCAAGCGAGTCCACAGGACCACCAAAAATGAGTTTCTGCTAGAGCTTAAAAAGGTTTCAGAAAGCAACACGGTGGACTTTCAGACGGTGATCATCAAAGACCTGGATGAAACCACGTCTGAACAAGAGATTTGCGACGCTCTTTGTCTGGGAAGTGGCATAAGTAACTTGAAGATGAGCAATGTCCGTATGGTGGGCGGTAAACAACTGGGCTTACAAATAGCGTTTGTGAAACTCGCGGCGTCAGACGCAGATAAATTGCTAAACACCGGGAAAATTCGCATCGGCTGGTCAATCTGCCGAATCATGGACTGTGTGGAGTCGAAACGCTGTATGAAATGCTGGCGCTTTGGTCACAAAGCTGCAAACTGCAAATTCCCTGAAGATCGTAGTAAGTCTTGCCGAAAATGTGGTGAGGAAGGCTAATTTGCTGCTGCGTGCAGCAAGGACAGCAAATGTATCCAATGTGGAGGCAAGCACGCTATTGGAAACGCTCGCTGTAAGGAGTTCAAGAAGGCGGTAGACAAATTGCGCAAATGAGGATTATATAAATCAATCTGAATCACTGCAGGGCGGCACAGGACCTGCTATTCCACTCGGCTTATGAGCAAATATGAATATAGCTCTACTGTGTGAACAATATCATGATGTAAGAAACTCCTCGTAGATTTCAGGATCCTCTGGTAAAGCAGCTTTTCAATGCTCTGCTACAGTCAGCCAACGCTTTTATTACCTGGGTCAGGGTAGACGAGATCTTTTTGTTCTCTTGTCACGCATCTCCTAGTCTAGACTTATACGAATTTGAGCAGTTACTCTCCGAAATCGTGACAGAAGCCAGGGGCATGTCTCCGCTTAGTCTACTTTCTGGGGTAGCAGTCACCCCAATGCTAGAGGAAGAGTGCTCTTGGAATGGCTCTTAAATAATATCTTCAAACTGGTCTTGAGGAACTTCTATAAGGTGGTAATATGCTCGATTTAGGCCAATAGAGCACCTAAAACTATGGATCCGCTGGTAATTGGGCATATAGTTACTACGCTGTTTCCTTCGACGAACGACGGGGTGTTTTTCTTCGATTCCCGACCTCGCTTGGTTACAATACCGCAGGTCACAGTCAATGAGATAAATGCCGCTATGAAGCGTATGAAGAACAACAAGGCTCCTGGCACAGACAGCATTCCTAGTGTTGCTGTCATTGCGGCGATTAAGGTTGATCCAAACATATTCGTAAGCTTGTTTACCAAATGCCTAGAGGAAGGACTTTTTCCAAGCCCTTGGAAAAAGCAAGATTTGATCCTACTTCTTAAACCGGGAAAAGAACCGCAGAATCCAACATCATATCGACCAATATGCTTGTTGGATGAACTCGGGAAGACCCTTGAATCTGTCATGGTCAACTGTTTGCACGAGTCTCTGGAACGCCATGGAGGACTTAGTGAGCGGCAATTTGGTTTCCGAAGATGTAAGTCCACGCTTCGCGCCATTGATACAGTTGTCAAAATAGCCCGCGAGGCCTTTAGCGTTGAACGATGGAAAGAAGGTACCATAGAGTACTGTGCGGTGGTAACTCTAGATGTCAAAAGCGCCTTCAACACAGCTAATTGGTCGAAGATATTACAAGCACTAAACGAATTTGGGGTTCCATGGTACCTCAGGAGAATGGTGTGCAACTACTTTAGCGGACATGGGTTCAGGTCCAGACAGACGATGGAATCAAGCAGTACACGGTTACTTGCGGTGTTTCGTAAGGCTCCGTACTTGGTCCTGCTCTGTGGAATGCGATGTACGATGGTGTACTTGAAGTGATCGTTCCAGATGACGCTGATGACCTTGCAATCGTTGTCGTTGCGAAAACGATAGAGAAAATCATGGTGCGGTGCTCAGCAGCTGTTGAAAAGGTAACCAGTTGGCTTTGCGAAAACGGACTCCAACTAGCGGTTCAAAAGACGGAAGCAGTGTTACTCAGTACAAGAAGAAAACGGGAAGTATTCTCGTTTTCAAGCGGTGGTTTCGAAATTACCTCGAAGTCATCCCTGCGGTGTCTGGGTAATTTCATAGATACCAGAACTACTTTTAGAGGCCATCTAAGGGCGGTAAATGAGAAGGCGGCTAAAGTCACTGTTGCCCTGTCTCGACTCATGACAAACACCTCGGGTATACCACCCACCAAGCGTAAACTCCTGGCAAGACTCACCAGCTCGGTAATATTGTATGCAGGTTCCATCTGGGTTTTTGCTATGCGAATGAGCTTATATGCTGCAGGCGCAAAAAGTACGTACCGGCTAAGCGCATTGCGCGTAATCAGTGCTTTCCGCACAGTATCGGATGATGCTGCATGTGTTATAGCAGGTATGCCGCCACTTGATCTGCTGGCCTAGGAACTTCGAGAGATCTGGCACAGTAGATTGCCGAAGGATGAGGCATGCAGCACTACCATGCTCACATGGCAACAACGGTGGAATGACTCGATGAAAGGGAGGTGGACACATAGCCTGATCCCAAATCTTAATGTGTAACCATGTAACCAGGACGCATGGTGAGGTAGATTTCCATCTTACTCAGATCCTAACTGGACATGGAGTCCTTAAACAGTACCTTCATCGCTTTAAACACGAAGAAGATTCGTTTTGATCTGTTATGAATTCAGACGATAACGATTTGAACTGATTCTCAGGACGCCTTCCTGACATAATACCTAACGGTAGTTCCAGGAGGGACTCTCCGTCCGGACAAGAGGACATGTTTTTAGCGGATTAAAGTTTCGCATTGACTTAGGCTTTCGATGCTTTTGAGTCCTCGTTACACAAAAAAAAAAAAAACACACACACACACGCACTTGCACATCACACATAAACACAACATCAACTATAATATATTAAATAAATATTTTACTAAACAAAACCTAAAATTCGAGTTATTGCCCTATTGCCTAACACTCGCTTTTGACAATTGTACTGGCTACTCTGCTTTAAATAAAAACTAACACTGGAAAATAAACTCCTAGTATATAAAACGGTAATCGCACCAATATGGAAATACGGAGCTGAAATATGGGGCACAGCATGCAAATTCAACACACAAATACTGCAAAGACTACAATCAAAAATACTTAGGACTATTATCAACACACTATGATATTCGTGTATTAAAGATACCCTTCGCCGCAGACGTTATCCGTAAAAATAGTAAAAATCACATAGATAGATTACTCTCCCGTCCTATCCCAGTAATGAGGCAGCTACCAAATGACGAAGCCACATATAATAGACGATTGAAACAATTATTTCCATCAGAACTAACAATATAATAATCCATAATTATCTATTTAATATTATTAATATTATTTAAAATTAAGATACGAAAAGGTACATTGTATTATGGCCTTTATATGTTGTATTATTTTAATTGTGTTGTGGCCTTTATGCATGCGCTAAAGAGAGGCGAGTTGCTTGAAGGTTATGAATAATAAAACGTGAATTAAACTGAATGAGTTTTTGTATTATTAATTTTTAATTGAGAAAAGGTAATTTCAAAAAGAGTTTAAGTAAAGAAAATCAGTGAAAAAACTTATTAAAAACAAACGTATTAAAGTACAATCTTAATATTATTTACGTATCTACTTCTACAAAATTTAATTATCTTATTACTTAATTTAAACAAGTTATACAAGTTATTTTGTTTTATCACTTATTGTAAATAGTTCATACATGTAATTCTCAATATTGATTAGAATTACTATTGTAACTTCCACTATGTAAAAATGAACACTACATGCCAATTTTCGGCAGTTGTGTAAATAAACGGAATAAAAAAAAATATAACTACAAACTGTAGAAGAAATCTTAGCTGAACTCGCAGAAGAGAAAGTCTTTACGATACTGATTTCGAAACCAGTATTGTGAGTTATTCCAGCTATCAACGTTCGTAAATAGTTACAGCATACAATTCCTTTTCAACCTGAGTTTAACCCATGTGCCAATAGGTTGAATCTACTGGTTTCGGGATCGTTACAAAATCAACATAATGTGTTTAATTTTAAAGAAATGTTTAAGGGTGTCTCCGAACGCGATTTCAGCAACATCTCTCTGACCTCTGATTTGAACAGGGCATTAGACTAGGTTTTCCTGGTGGCGCTGTGCCGAAGAACGTGACAATCTACGAAGACTTAACCCAGCCAATCCACACATAAAAACTGTGAACAACAACATCCGTAAAATGGTTGACGAATATCGCCTTAGTAAATGGAAGAACATTGAGATAACTGCGACTCTCAAAATCGTAAATTGTGGACTCCCATTAAAGCACTATCTATCCCGTCCTGTATCAACAACAAGGCGATATCATTTAATGGGATCACCTTCTTCGATTCCAAGCATTGCGCCTTCCCTGATATTCGCAGACAAAAACGCACTTTTTGGAAGCCACATGCTGACGACACTTCGTCGTTGTCCCCTGATAATGTGCTTAATGTGATCAGACAAGCCAAAACCTCGAAGTCGCTTGGACCTGATGGCATCTCGATGCTGATGCTCAAGAACCTTGAGACCATTGATATATCAGTTCTGATACATATCCTGAATTCGTCCATCAGTTCCCACATCATCCCTAACATATGGAAGACTGGTAGAATAATCCCACTGTTGAAACCGGGTAAACTGGTTGACTTAAGTAAATCTTACAGACCGATATCCCTTCTATCTCCAGTAGCCAAAGTTCTGGAATCTGTAGTACTCAAACAGATATCTCCTCACATTCATTATCGATGAAAATATCATGGTTCATCTATCGATGATCATATCGATGAAATCAGGATCCCACTATCACCAAACCTTAAATCCTGAATGTCGTACTCGACAGTTTGCTGACCTTTTCTACACATGCGTCTGCTATGTGTGGCCGGTTGAAATCTCGTAATAATGTGCTAAAAGCCCTCGCATGTTGTTCATAGGACAAAGATAAAGAAACCCTACTGAGCACATTCAAAGCAATAGGATGTCCTATTGCGGCCAATGCAGCTCCAGTATAGACTCTACAACTTTGCGAGTCGCAATGGACTAATATCCAATCTTGTAAAAATACGGAATTACGGATTGTATCTGGTTGCCATCGCATAACGCATTTTGACTACCTTAATGCTGAATCAAAAATGCTTCCTGTAAAAGAACATAATCAACTATTGTCCAAGCAATATCTTCTTGCTTGCCACACAGATGGTCATCCCAATGGCGTCATGGCTAGTAGTGCCCGCCCTCCTAGATGCATTTGTCGATTCCTCCTTTCTTTTAATAGTTATATCGACACCCTTTGCAATGGAGCTAAAATCAGTGAGGTCGAATATAAACGTGGACATACGGTCCCCGACTCAGATGCGGTATCTTTTTTAACAACTAGGTTGTCAGAAAATAAGGTTCTTAATAGGCCTCCGCCTGAAATCTCCTAGGAAGAACGTTGTCTCTTCAGGATATAGCCGAGTGCTTACTTGTCACACATAAACACGTTCATCCCCAATATGTGCCCTAACTGCAGCTCTTCTTTCCGTGACGTCGCCCATCTGTTCGCCTGTCCTTTTGCATACACTAATCTTCGTCCAATTAACCTTTGGGCTCAGTTTCTCTTTCTAGATCCGGGATAATGTTCAATATAGACCTCCCACCCAATTCTTCTACATTCTCCTTCCTCCCCCTTTCATCTCCTCTAACCTCTACCCACCCACTTCTCTACTTATGTAATCGTCTTGTGTATCCTTTCGTGTTATCTGCTTACAGGTCTCAGCGGGTTCAATAACAACAACTGGATTACGTTACCAAGATAGGAAAACAACGTTACTGACTGGGTCATGTTAATAAGTTAGGAAAAATTCGCATCAAGTCTGCATCATCAGCAGGCAAACGGCAAGGCTGAAGCAACAGGGAAAATAGCAAAACAACTGATTAAAAAAGCTTTCGAATCAAGTACTGATTTTTATAAAGCATTAGCAAAACGAGTGTTTTGTAGATGATTAAGGTGCACAATTCCAAGCAACAATACAGAGCAGAAGGTAATAAAGAACGTTCCAAAACATATACAACGGCAGAAACTGTACAACAAGAAATACTACGATACGAGAAGAGAAAACAATCTCAAGGAAGGAGATTAAAAAGTTAAAGTGTGAAATAGCTCAATAACCGGTACTGCGGCCAGAAGAGTCCTATTGTACCAGTTTCACTATTGATTACACAGAGCCCCTTAAAGCTTTGTGAATATAGTCTAGAAAGAAGTTCCATATAAAACAAGTTTCTTCTGAGCGTTAGTAAGGCTGGGCATTCAGAAAAAATATGCATGTTAGTTTCCTCATCTTCGACGCATAATCTGCATTCCAAATTAGGAGATAGTTGAAGTTTATGAAGATGGTATTTTAGTCCATAATGAGCTATAAAGAAATCCGTTAGCGACCTTAAATTACATTTTGAGAATTTAAGGATGTCTTTGTAGGAGTAAGGTGATATCAGTGCTTTGCTTTGTCTAAGTCCTGAGAAGTTTTTCCAGTACTCCAGTAATTTTCCTTGATTATTTGATTTGCACTAGCCCAGTTTATCCCACAAAAGGGTATAGGTCTTGTAAAAGCAGCTTTTGATGCAGTTTTGACTAGCTCATCGGCTTGTTCATTTCCCAAAACTCGCCTGTGACCCGGAACCCAGTATAGGTTAACCTTATTCTGAGTTGCAAGTAGCTGCAAGAGCTCATAACATTAAAGAACCTGTCCAAGAGGACAGAGCTTTCAGAGCAGCCTAGGTGTCGGAGTAAATAACAATTCTTGAGCCAGATGATTTTTTCTTGATGTTGGATCTTACGCATAATTTAATTGCGTGGTTTTCAGCTTGAAAGGCGCTCAGCCATGTGCCCATTGTCTTCAAAATTCTGGTGCTGGGTCCATATACACCAGCACCAGTGCTTCCATCTATTTTTGATCCGCCAGTGTACCAAACCAAACTTTTTGGGTCAACCTGTGGGCCTCCGTTTTCCCACGTTGAACATGAAGGTAGATGAACCTCAAATTTTCTGCCAAAACAGAGTTTTGTTATATAGTTTCCATTGCACTGAGGATTTTATGTTCTTCAAATGTTTTTAATATTATTCCATGACCATAGTCAGGACAAACCTTATTCATGTAGAAATTCAATCGGAATGCACTAAGCGCAGCCGTAGATTGAATATAAATGTGCAGAGGTGTCAACCCAAGTATAGCCTCAATTGCTACAGTTGGGCTAGTCCTCATGGCACCAGTTTCGTGACACTCGCGTGTCTCTTACTGAAGTTTCATGCATACAGTAATAGACCCTGCTTGTGTGACCTTTTGCTATCAGACCAGGCAACCATATGTCATAAAAGAACGTACTAC